ATTACATTTGGGTGAGCAGTGAGGAGTCTCAGGTGAACCCATCACAATGTCACCCAGGTGAGATTTGATGATCTTGTTAATATAATAACCCTCTTTAATGGTCATACATGCAGAGCACACAGCACGCACAGTGATATGTGTTCTCTGCTTTTAACCCATCCTAGTACCAGGAGTCTAGTAGGAGCAGTGGGCAGCTATTGTACGGCGCCCGGGGAGCAATGGGAGTGGGGGGGGAAGGGGGTTGTCCGGTGCCTTGCTCAAGGGCACCACGGCAGAGCAGGAGATGAACTGGGACCTCTCCAAGTAGAAGTCCACACTCCATATTTTAGCTCTGGTCGGGGACTTGAACCGGCGACCCTACAGCTCCCAGTCCAAGCCCCTACTGACTGAGACCCTGCCGGACTTAACCTTTGTAAAGTGCGCAAGGCATGAGAAATAAGCCATTATTAAACAAGTAAAGCCTTTTAATAAGAAGTATATGCCAACAATGTTTTAAATAATGGGAGACAAGTGGTTCAAAACTTCACTCTAAAGATTTTAACATGAGAAAAAAAGATTGTGAGAACAAGATGAAAGGTTTTTCCGAAAAAACCATTATCAGTTGATCTTTATGTAGGAAAAGAAGTGTACAAAGCAAGTGAATAAACCCAATGCCTACAGTTAGGAGGTACAGCATTATTTAACTTGAATATTTACACTTTATTTATCTTCTACTCCCACATTACGCTGTAGTTATTTTATTACATTTTTCTTCAGGTTGTGCAATAAAGAAATACAATATGATGCAATATCACAGATGAAACCATGCAGCAGTTCATGAAGTTGTTCAAATGGGCTCCACCTTGAAGAAACTTGAGAAAATATAAATGCAATGTGTTGAGTTTACATAAATAAAGTAGCATTTTCAAAGCAGGGTGTGACAGCTTGGTATAATAAACGTTCTGGGAAATCTCACTACCAAGCCCAGCAAACAGCTACTAAATGCACCTGGTGGTGGGATTCTGTGAGCGTAACTTGATGAGATCAAATGAGAATTGCTCCATGCTTCATGACGATCAGCATCACAGAGTGAGGCTGATGTAAGTTTTCCATGAGTTGAATTCTCTGTTCAGACATGTTGGCCTGCAGTGTGCCACCTGTCTGCGGCCTGGACTAAAAAAGAGCATTCCTTAAAGAGAGAAAGGCTTCTTATGATGACAGACGCTGCAAAACGACCCTCCTCCAACACACACACACACACACACACACACACACACACACACACCTTTTTATAAAGAGCAGCATGACATTTCTGAGGGAAATGCAACAAACGTTTGGGAAGATCATATGAAGATAGGCCGCATCCATTTGTAGAAGCTTTGTGTCCGTTTTGGATCTCCTTAAGTGCCTGTTTGTGGTTGTGTTGTGTCTTTGTGGTCACTTTGTGAGTCTTTGTTGCTGTTTGGGGTCTTTCTGTAGTCCTTAAGTGCCTGTTTGTGGTTGTGTTGTGTCTTTGTGATAAGATAACACAAGCCTTCTTTAATCCCTGTAGGGGAAATAAGATGTTGCAGCAACAGAAATAAGATGGTTGTGATTATAGCTAAGTGTCTCTTTGTGATGATCTTTTGAAGTTATTTTGTTGTCTTCTCTACCCCTAGTTGTTTTGTGTCTGTTTCGCCTCGTTTCATTGCCTTTTTTGATCTTTCTGTATTCATTTTGAGTCTCTTTCTGCTTGTGTCTTCGAGTTACATCATGTAGGTGAAGGTTAAAGGGGCCCCTGACAGTTTGGGCCCTTCTCTTTTGCCCATTCTGTAATCCATCTATGGTTTTATCCATTTACACTAAATAACAAGAAGCTGCTCTTTCTTTGTTTGTCATCGCTCAGTAGGCGTGAGGTGAGTGTGATAGGGTTTGTCAAAACATGCCCTCCCCAACACAGAACAAAATACCTTTGACACTTCTGGATCTTCGGCTCTTCGCCTCACTGTTAATCCTGTGTGCACACGTAAAAAAAAAAGTTCACTTTTCGCCACCGGCTTGTGTCACCCTTCAAATTAAAATTCCATCCATCTTGACTCTTTGCTCTTTGCTCTCAGCTGTCAGCGCTCAGGAGGAAACATCCTGAACGCAGCACTTAAGTTGTAAATAAAAGGCAACCATCACAAAAGCCTGTCATCTTTTCTCACAGGGGATATTGTTCTGTCAGGTGAAGTACACTTTTTTCATTTTTAAGCAGGAAGGCGGGTTAGAAATGTCACAAACATCCTGATCCATCATGTTAAGGACGACTGAAGATATTAACAAAACCCACAGGAAGTAACCTCCTTATGGATGTCAAAGGAATAAATCAAGCTCTTTTTAAATCAGAACATGTCCAAATGACCTGCCCTGCATGTTGTGGACAGCCCACTAGATGAACAAAAAACTAATTTTGTAATATGCGTCATGTTTAAAAGCAATTACACCGAAGACAGTGCAGATTTGAAACAATGGGGTACAACAATTATTGTTTTATGCACCCTCTGAATCTGATGTTTTCAAAGGTAATTGCATATTTTGTGCATGTAAAGTATCCCCACAATGCTTGTAAAAGTGTTGCTTGAGGAATCTACACCAAAAACGGAGACTTCAATTATAATAACAATAAAGCTTTATTTATATAGCACTTTTCATAGATTCTTGTTAAAAACTTTACAGGTACATGCAGCAACATATAACATTTTAACAGGTTAAGAGACACAAGGAGGTAAAAGGTATGATAACAATAAATAAATAATGATTTCTCTCTGACAGATAAGACACAAGACAACTGAGTCGATGCAACAATATAAAACCCCATAAAACAATGTGAACATATAGGTACAACACAAATACACTTATTATAAGAATACAAATGCCATCATTCTAATAAAGGTTAAACGATTAAAATATACAAAAAACGTAAAAATAAATATTGCTAGTGAAACATTAATAAAGACCTATACAATAAATAAAACAATATAAAAGTAGGTAAATAATGAATACTAAACGAACATTTAAATGGGGGGTTGCTAATAAAAAGCTAATCTAAATTAATGAGGTGTTCCACAGCTATGGAGATATTCATTACACAATGGAATTAAAAAATATAGAGTTTAAAAGGTAGAACTTGACGGACCCTCTGTTATAACCAGCTGCTTCAAAGAACATACATTAAAGTATAAAAGATAAAATGGGCTTTCACAGTATGCCACGGTGTAAACGGACACTATTGTTAAACCTGTGAATGAGACACGGCTGTTATCTGATATTCCACTGAGTGACGCTGGGACAATGGACCATGGAGCACCTGTACTGTAGGTTTGGTGTCACTTTGTCAAACTCACCTGGGACTCAGGCTTTACTCCTGTGAATGAAGGGATGAAACATGTTTGAACACACTCAGATACGTACGCATTAAAGGTCCCATGTCATGCTTTTCCGGTTATTACCCGTCCCCTTGTGTGTTATGAAGGTTTTTCTGCATGTAAACGGTCTGCAGAGTCACAAACCCTCAAAGTACGACCTGTAGCGAGTAAAACTCTAACACAGAAAATACCTGTCTATGCTGCCCCAGAACGCCTCGTTGGACATTTCTCTTTTTCCATTGTTTACTTCTTGGTAGCGACATATTTCGGGTATAGTGAACCAATCTGCGGAGCTCCAACAAGCCTTTTAGGACAGAGAGAATACACATACTTTACAGAGATGCTGGATGAGAAACCAATGTGAGTTTGGAAAATTGCACAATATACATTTATTTTAGTAGACCTCAACAATGGAATTATGATCAGTAGAAATGGCCATGACACGGGGCCTTTAAATTAGACACATCAACAAGACTGTACATATTAATGGTAGGAGGCCCTCTGGTGGACAGATTACACATAGGATAACTCAATATTATGATAATCTGTGAATAATTAGTGGGAGATTTGTAATGATACTTACAAATATATGATATTAAACATAATATAGTCTACTTTCCCTGGATTGAAGTCATACAAATAAAAAGGAGCTGCAGAAATATCATCTCTTACTTTGCTGCACTTTTCTGGGGTTGGAATGAGAGCTCCATTAAAGTAATTCTACTTTTTTAAATTAGTTTAAAGACGGTACTGCATTTATTTTTTTTAATTTATAGCTGTCTTTGGCTCTTTTCTTGCTGTAAGAAATGCAAATGTCCCCTCTGTGGGACGAATAAAGGCATTCTAATTCAGATTTTCCGACTGGCTAGGGGTTTGTTGAAAGTGACGTTTGATTGCATGTTAGAAATATGGCAAAAATAATTGTCCAAAAAAATAAGAGAGCATTGCCAAACAAGGAAAAGGAAACAAATATAGCACTGAATGTTCCTAGAGACAGTTGGAAGTTCAACATTAAAGGAACAGTGGCTCCAATATGCTCAAAACCATATCAATGTGACACAGGAGTTTTGGTGAATTCTGTGCTGTGGAGCGATGGAACATACTGGAACTTTTCGGGTTTATGGATGGTGGAAGAAGAACGAATCACATGATGAAAACACAATTCACGTGGAGTAATGTTGGCTCAAAGCCAGACCTTCTGATAAATAAAAACAAGAAACCAAGCATTACTAGAACAATAAATCTTAATAACTTTATTGTCTTTGTTCTCATGATTTTACAAATATGATACTTCTGCAATTCAACTTTTTAACTGTGCAACACAATGGCTTTATGGACTGTTAAACCGGACATCCC